CCTTCTCCTCTACATTCAACAGTGCTTCTTAACCTTTTCTTCACCATGGACCCTTTTTAAATACCTTTTGTGGCCACAGATCATGGCTACCGATCCCCAAGACTTTTCTCAAGATTTAAATCATATCATTTCTTCAAGCCCTGTGTTGATATTACGGCCTCCCCAGCGGTCCGCGGATCACAGTGTGAGAAAAACTGCTCAACTATGTTATGGATCTGTAAGTCTCAAAAAAAAAAAAAGCCTGTTGTTTTCCTAACCATTCAGAGGCTGCATCCCACCAGATCCGCACGTGACCAGATGGCCAAATCAAAATGGGCTGTCAGGTGATCTTTTTCTGCAAACCAGCAAAATGTCCAGAGAAGCAGAAAATCGATTCAGAAACGGGATGCTTGCCACCCCAAGATAGTGAATAGACATCTTTCAAAGATATTTATGTATTAGGAGCCAGATTGGCTAGTGATTAAGGCACCAGGCTAGAAAGCAGGAGACTGTGAGTTCTAGTCCCACCTTAGGCTGCTAGGTGACTTTGGGCCAATCATCTGGAGACAGTGAGTTCTAGTCCCGCCTTATGCAGGAAAGCCGGCTGGGTGACTTTGGGCCAGTCACCAGGAGACGGTGAGTTCTAGTCCCACCTTAGGCAGGAAAGCCAGCTGGGTGACTTTGGGCCAGTCACCAGGAGACGGTGAGTTCTAGTCCTTCTTTAGGCAGGAAAGCCAGCTGGGTGACTTTGGGGCCAGTCATCCTCTCTCAGCCCAACCCACCTCACAGGGTTGTTGTTGTTGTGGGAAAAATTAGGAGGAAGGTCTGTTGGATAAGTTCCGTCTTGAGTGATTTGTAAAAATAATAAAGATAGGATACAAATAATGAATAAAATAACTACGTAGTCCTGCTGGGACAGTTCAGCATTGATCGGGAGACTGAACAAGATGATGAATTTCCCGCCTTTTTCCACCTCAGTGAACCTCAGCAATCTTTATTTTCTTTTCACTTCTGCACAAAGGAAGCTTTGTTGTAATCTGAGCCTACAGTCTCCATCAGTACTGCAGGAAACCCTGAGCTTCCTACATCACAAACCCCCTCCAAAAATAGTTAATTTCACCTGGCTGAGAAGTCTCAAAAAGCTTGCAAAACTTTGCATGTAGTGAAGTTCGGTGAGGTTTCATAATTCTCACCTGGGACTTGGCACCCTTCCAAGATTTTAGGCCATTGGGAGACTAGGGACTAACATAGATACTTTATCCTTGAGCTGGCAAAATTCTCTCTCACAACAGATGCTTATATTATTTTAGAACAATTCCCCCCCTAACCTCTAGAGGTTGCAAGGCTGCCGAACACGACAAAAAAACACTTCCTTTCAAAATCCTTTTATTAAATAGCTTCAAATCCAGAAAAAACAGAAAAAAGCAAAATATATATATCCCATCCCCTGCCAACCCATTTCCCCTTCCCCAATTCTACAAAAGAGTCGATTTCTGCCCATTTAGACTCCCACTGCTTCCTAACAGCCCCCCNCTCTTTCTACAGCAGAGAGAGGACATTTTGAAGTGGGCAATTCCCTCCCGTTCTAAAAGATGGACGTCAAATCCTAGGGATCAGCCAATGGAGAGCTAGCTCAAAGGAATAAAGTTTCAAAAGGCAGGAATGCAGGAGAGAGAGAGAGGGAGAGAGGGAGAAAGAGGGAAGAAGAAAGAGAGAGGGTGTGTGTGTGTGTGTGTCTTCAAACGTGGCCCTTTTATGACTTGTGGACTTCAACTCCCAGAATTCTGGCTGAGGAACTCTGGGAGTTGAAGTCCACAAGTCATAAAAGGGTCAAGTTTGAAGACCCCTGTATTAAATCTTGGGCCTTTCCGAGTTAGGGTCTTTCAGATTTTTCTCAGCAGTTGTGGGACATCTGGATTTTGAAATTTCTGAGGGAATTCAAGGGCTTGGCTACTGGTCTTTGTTGATCTACTCTCCATCTTCTCTCTCTGGGTTCAAGGGGAGACATCCAGGCTGGATAGAGTCTCTTTCTCCCATCAGTGTCTTCTCTTTTCAAGGTGGCCTGGTGTTTGCTCTCTACACTGAAAATCAGGAGAGGAATCCCTGCCGGAGGAGGTGAGAAGAAGGAAGACTGAGGGCCCTTCCTCTTCCAGGCCTCCCCCCATAATTTGCTTGGCTGTAGGTATGGGGCCCTGCTCAATCAGAGTTGTGGGAACGTTTGCTCAAGATCTCTGGAAAAAGCGGAGGGAGGTGAGCTTCAGAAAGAGATGCTACTTGGTGAAACTGGTAGAGAAGACAAGAGTGCACCCTACAACGTTTACTTCAGGGCCTGTCCCACATCCAGCAATGAGTTCTCTGGGAACTTGAGGTGCATAGCTTTTTGGCTACGTTTTAGCCGCACACCCAAGGGTGGAGAAACAACACGCAACGCTGCACAACGGACAGCCCACCTCCTCCTTCATTCCCCGTGACTCCAGGAATAGGCAACCTTGGCTCTTTTGTGACTCGTGGACTTCAACTCCCAGAATTCCTGAGCCAGCATAGCTCAGTATGGAAACCTCTCCCTGTCCCCTCAGCACGGCTGGCTCAGGAATTCTGGGAGTTGAAGTCCACGAGTCCTAAAAGAGCCAAGGTTGCCTACCCCTGCCCCAGGCAGTGACTTGTTCTCCGTTCCTTTGCTAGCCAGGGAGTTGGGGGCTCTCCCCCAAAGAAAGTCAAGCCAAGGAAAGAGAAAAGAAAGCAGATTAAGCCATCATCGAAGCCATCTTGGTTAAGCATAACTTTGGCGGAGCACCTGAGGCGAGGCACCTGTGCTCTGGAGCGAATTGGCACTGGCAATAAGGAAGGAGCCATTTTTCTCGCGCGGAGGAAACCTCGGGAGGCTTCCTGGCCTTGTCTCCAGAGCGAACGAGAAGGAAACATCCACTTCACAACTCCTGCCTCTGCTTTACAAGCACGGTGTGGCCAAGATGTCACCCTGACCCGTCCGGTGCAGCTAGGAAATCCTCGCCAGAAATTCTCCCCTGTATTTTTTTGGGGGGGGGGCGTTGCTAAAAAGGAAAAACAACCCATCTCACAAAAGCCATTCCAAACCTCGCACTCGGTTCCTGCCCCCTGAAGGGACCCGTCCACCTCCTTCGCGTTGGGCCCCGAACACCCCGCCGGACGGCCGGAGCAACGGCCCAGGATGAACCAGGAGTCGCTTCCATCTACCCAAATCCTCCCCGAATTAAAAGGAAATTAAAAAAAGAAAGAAATCAGAAAAAAGAAAAGGTCGAAGCCCAAAACACACACAGCAACTGAAGCCCCCTGGGAGATCTCCCACCCACCCCCTTCCCCGGTCAAGCAGAAGCCGAGTGTTCCTTTTGAGGTAGAGTTTTTGGTTTCTTTTGTCTCAGGGCCAAACGGGGGGTGGGTGGGGTTCCAGGTCTCAGCCGGTTGCGTCCTGGGTTCAAGTATGAGTCAGGTAATTTATTGCTACTATCAGGTGCAGCAGCAGGAGGCAGCGGTGGAGGGAGGGGGGCAGGAAGGGGGGACACGGAAGAAGGGGAGACAGGGGGGCGGGGAATCCCTCGTCAAGACTCCTCGTTGCCGGAGTCGTCCTCGTCCCCGTAGCAGCTTTCCACCTCGTCGTCCATTTCGTCGTCTTCGTAGTAGTCGTCGTAGAACAGGTCGGAGCCTTCGTCCGGGGCGGGCGTCTTGGTCTTGACGCAATACTCCGCTAACGTGGTGGGGACTTTGACGCCGTCCCTCTCGGCGTCCACCTTGGTTCCCAGGACTTGTTTCCTGGAAAGAGAGAAGTTCATTTGTACAGCCCCGGTGGCGGAGTGGTTAGAATATGGCACAGGTAATCCTCAACTTACAACAGTCGGTTTGGTGGCCGAAGTGACAACGGCACCGAAAAAAAGGGACCGTTTTTCACTCTTATCACCATTGCCCCTTCTCCACGGTCACGTGATCAAAACTCGGTTGCTTGGCAACTGACTCACCTTTATGACTTTTCCAGCGATCCCCTTTTGAGACCTTCTGACAAGCAAAGTCAACGGGGGAAGCCACGTTCGCTTAACAACTTGGTTACTGTTCTAACAACTGCAGCAATTCGTTTAGCAAATGTCGCAAGAAAAATCGTAAAATGGGGCAAAACTCCCGTTAACAAATGTCTCACTTAGCAACATAAATTCTGGGCTCGACTGCGGGTCATATGTAGAGGACTACCTGTGTGGCAAGCTAGCTCTGCATTTCTACTGGCCAGGAGTTCAATCCTCAAGGATTGACTCAAGGTTGACTCAGCCTTCCATCCTTCCAAGGTCGGTAAAATGAGCATCCGGTGTGTGTGTGTGTGTGTGTGTGTGTGAACAAGATGCTGACTCCGTAAACCGCTCAGAGAGGGCTGTAAAGCACCGTGAAACGGTATATAAGTCTAAGTGCTACTGCTATGGATTTGTGCCAGGTTAGCGAAGCCGTGATGCTCCAATGGAAGAAGGCGGCAGGTCTGACTCTGCCCACTGCCAGCAGTTCGATCCTGACAGAGCTCAAGATTGACTCAGCCTTCCGTCCTTCCGAGGTCGGTAAAATGAGGACTCATTGTTGGGGGGCAAATATGCTGACTCTAAATCAGAGGGCTGTAAAGCACTATGGTATATAAGTCTAAGTGATCTATCTATCTATCTATCTATCTGTCTGTCTGTCTGTCTGTCTGTCTGTCTGTCTGTCTGTCTGTCTGTCTGTCTGTCTATCTATCGTGGTGCAGTGGTTAGAATGCAGCATTATAGGCTGACACTGCCCACTACCAGCAGTTCGATCCTAACCGGCTCAAGGTTGACTCAGCCTTCCGTCCTTCCGAAATTGGTAAAATGAGGATGCAGATTGTTGGGGGTCAATATGCTGGCCCTGTAAACTGCTCAGAGAGGGCTGTAAAGCACTGCGAAGTGGTATATAAGTCTAAGTGCGATTGTTATCTCTAGAGATTAATGTCAGGCGCAAGGAGCATGGTGGTTAGGACGCTGGGTTGGAGGCTAGCAAGCCCATGTTTGAGACCCAAGTGCTGCCTTGGGACGTGGTGAGCTCCCGTCGTTCGCTCCAGCTCCTGCTGGGGACGTGAAAGGAGCCCCTAACTGGGCATCAGGTGATGCTAATCTTTTCAACTCGGAAGTGCCTTGGTGCTTCAAGTGAAATGTCAGGTGGAAGAACCACACGGTTAAGCCGATCAAATGAGTTTCTTTATTGCTACTATTTACAGAAATCTTGCCAGACTTCACTAACTCCAATGATTTTTTCTTGGGTGGATCAGGAATTCCATGCTAACCAGACTCTTAACTCATCACTCACACACACACACACACACACACACACACACCACTTCCACTGCGATTCCACCAAACGGTCTCTGCTAAGATCCCATGATTGACTCTGCAATTTGCCCAGATTGCAACAGTTCAGAATGATAGAATAACAGAATTGGAAGGGAACTTGGAGGTCTTCTAGTCCAGCCCCCTGCTCAAGCAGGAGACCTTATACCTTTTCAGACAAGTGGCTTTCCAGTCTCTTCTTAAAAACCTCCAGTGTTGGAGCACTCACAATGTCTGCAGGCAAGCTGTTCCACTGGTTAATTGTTCTCACTGTCAGGAAGTTTCTCCTTAGTTCTAGGTTGCTTCTCTCCTTGATTAGTTTCCATCCGTTGCTTCTTCTCCTGCCTTCAGGTGCTTTGGATAACAAGTCAATCCCCTCTTCTTTGTGGCAGCCCCTCAAATACTTGAAGACTGCAATCATGTCACCCCTAGTCCTTCTTTTTGTTAGACTAGGCCAGGGGTAGGCAACCTTGGCTCTTTTATGACTCCTGGACTTCAACTCCCAGAATTCCTTAATCACCGTGATGATTTGCTTAACAACCACCACAAAAAAAGGTTAAAAAACAACAACAGGTCAGTCACATGACTTACGCCTGTAATAGGCAAATCTATAAAGGCCATTAAGTCACGATCACGTGAAATATTAATACCACTTTACAATGCCTTGGTAAGGCCACACTTGGAATACGGCATCCAGTTTTGGTCACCACGATGTAAAAAAGATGTTGAGACTCTGGAAAGAGTGCAGATAAGAGCAACAAAGATGATCAGGGGACTGGAGGCTAAAACATATAAGGAACGGCTGCTGGAATTGGGTATGTTTAGTTTAATGAAGAGAAGGACGAGGGGGGACATGATAGCAGTGTTCCAGTATCTCAGGGGCTGCCCCAAAGAAGGGGGAGTCAAGCTATTCTCCAAAGCACCTGAAGGCAGGAGAAGAAGCAACGGATGGAAACTAATCAAGGAGAGAAGCAACCTAGAACTAAGGAGAAACTTCCTGACAGTTAAAACAATTAACCAGTGGAACAACCTGCCTCCAGAAGTTGTGAATGTTCCCACACTGGAAGTTTTTAAGAAGAGACTGGACAGCCATTTGTCCGAAATGGTATAGGGTTCCCTGCCTGAGCAGGGGGTTGGACTAGATGACCTCCAAGGTCCTTTCCAACTTCATCATCATCATCATCATCATTAGTCGAGGAGAACCTATAATAACTGCAGGACTGGGAGGAGTCGTCGTCATCATCATCATCATCATCATCATCATCATCATCATCATTATTAGTCGAGGAGAACCTATAATAACTGCAGGACTGGGAGGAGTCGTCGTCGTCATCATCATCATCATCATCATCATCATCATTATTAGTCGAGGAGAACCTATAATAACTGCAGGACTGGGAGGAGGAGTCCAGTGTGACCAGTTCATCTCCCAAACTGGGTGGCCCACTAACCTGATGATGTCCGTGTATTCTTGATCTTTCCCTTTGCTTTCTTTCCACTTTCTGTACATCACCGAAGCGTCAACGTTGGCCGGAGAAAACGTGTTTGGTTCGTTGAGGAGCGAGATCACGCTAAGGAGGATTGTTCTGATAGGGAAAAACATTTTTTAAAAAACAGCGTATTAAAATAACGCCGCTTAATTTAAGTACAGGTGGTCCTTGGTTTAAGACGTGAGTGCTCGGTGACGATTTGAAGTCACGATGGACCACTCAAAAGTCACAGGTAATCCTCGACTTGCCACAGTTCATTTAGTGACCGAAATGACAAGGACATCGAAAAAAGTGACTTACAACCGTTTTCCACACTTACAACTCTTGGTAGCATCTCCGTAGGGTCAAAATTCAGACACTTGGCGACTGACTCATATTTATGACGGTGAACCGGGGTCACGTGATCCCCTTTTGCGACCTTTTGACGAGCAAAGTCAATGGGCGGAAGCCGGATTCACTTAACAACCGTGTTGCTAACTTAAAAGGTGCAGTGAGTCACTTAACAACGATGGCAAGAAAGGTTCTAAAATGGGGCAAAAACTCAACTGTCTCACTTAGCAACATAAATTTTGGGCTCAGTTGTGGTCGTAAATTGAGGACTAACTGTACTTATGATCCATTTCTGAAGTTATGACAGCCATCTGTGAATACTCCAACATTGGAAGTTTCTAAGAAGAGACTGGACAGCCATTTGTCTGAAATGGTATAGGGTTTCCTGACTGACCAGGGGGTTGGACTAGATGACCTCCAAGGTCCCTTCCAACTTTATTATCATCATCATCATCACCATCATCATCACCATCATCATCATCTCCCCATGTGACCGCATTTCAGGCATGAAGGAATGAATCAGCCTGCATTTAGGGCCACTTGCAATGCCCGATAAGTCATGCGGCTGCGATTTGCGACATTGTTGCTGAAAACAGGTACAGGTAGTCCTCAGCTTACAACCGCAATTGAGCCCAAAATTTTCGTTGTTAAATGATTCGTTGGTTAAGTGAGTTTTGCCCCATGCTAAGACTTTTCTGGCCACAGTTGTTAAGCGAATCACTGCAGTTGATAAGCGAGAAACCCGGTTGTTAAGCGAATCTGGCTTCCTCCATTTTTGCTTATCAGAAGGTGGCAAAAGGGGATCACGTGACCCCCTGGGGACACGGCAACCGTCATAGGTATGAGCCAGTTGCCAAGCCTCTGAATTTTGATCACGTGATCAGGATGCTGCTGCAAAGGCCATAACTGTGAAAAATGGTCCTAAGTCACATTTTTCAGTGCCGCTGTAACTTTGAATGGTCAGTAAAGTGGACTAACTGTATTTACTTTTTGGTAAAACGCGTGATAGGGGATAGTGGGTTTGCTTAATGACTGTGTTCTTTTAACAACTACTGCAAAAGAAAAAAAAAGTCTGTAAAAAACGATTCTGGTCACATGGTGATGTGCTTTACAAATGTCACAACTTGTGACTGTAAAAAGCAGGCTCTATTATGGCCGTAAGGTGAGGATTTACTTGTACATGTGAATGTAAGTTAAATCTTTGTCCTAGCCCTGCTTAATTTCTGGATTGTGTCCCCTGCAGAATGTATAAACCCCAAGAGACTTCGGAGGTTCAGCCCATCAAAGCTGTGGGCCTCTGCTTTGCAGGTTTATTAACATAAAGTACAGGCAGTCCTCGACTTAGGACCACAATTGAGCCCAAAATTTCTGTTGTTAAGTGAGACATTTGTTAAGTGGGTTTTCCCCATTTTATGATGTTCCTTGCCACAGTTGTTAAATGAATCAGTCTTTTTTTAGTAACATGGTTGTTAAGTGAATCCGGCTTCCCCTATTGACTTTGCTTGTCAGAAGGTCGCAAAAGGGGATCACGTGACACCCCCCCAGGACACTGAAACTGTCATAAATATGAGTCAGTTGCCAAGCGTCTTAATTTGGATCACGTGACCACGGGGATGCTGCAAAGGTTGTAAGTGTAAAAAACGGTCATAAGTCACTTTTTTCAGTGCCGCTGTAACTTTGAATGGTCACTAAATGAACTGTTGTAAGTCGAGGACTACCTGTATTAAACTAAAAGGAACTTAAATGGGGGGGGATGGCCAGATCTTAGCATTGTTTTCATTTCTGTAGTTGTATTCCAGCTACTAATATCCCAGTTTCTTCAGCTAGACCAGGGGTAGGCCACCTTGGCTCTTTTATGACTCGTGGACTTCAACTCCCAGAATTCCTGAGCCAGCCACGCTGAGGGGAAAGGGAGAGGTTTCCAAGCTGAGCCATGCTGGCTCAGGAATTCTGGGAGTTGAAGTCCACGAGCCATAAAAGAGCCAAGGTTGCCTACCCCTGGATTAGACTATTGTTCCATAGCACAAAGTGAGGGATCTGTTTTTAAAAAATATTTTTAAATGTGTCTAAGAAGGAAGGCAGGAAAACTCACCTTACATTCTGCGTTGGGTTCCACCTTTCTGAGGGTAACTCTCCGCTCTGTGGGTCATCCACTGGAGGATGTAGAATTGAAATGCAAACATCTCCTGTCTGGAATGTATAAATCATGTTGTCTGCTTTGCACGCTTGCACACACAGGCTGAGTTCACACAACGTTCATTCAAAATCCAGATGATTTACCTCACGTGTAAACAAAGGATATGTTCACCGAACATACAGTGGTCAAGGAAATGTACCATACGAGGGCTTAAGGCAGAGGTGAGGTACTATGGCCCCCTTTATAACTTGTGGACTTCAACTCCCAGAATTCCTGAGCCAGCATGGAGAACGATAACCCCTTTATAACTTGTGGACTTCAACTCCCAGAATTCCTGAGCCAGCCATGTTGAAGTCCACAAGTCATTAAAGGGTCATAGTTCCCCACCCCTGGCTTAAAGGGATAGACCAGGTTATACAGTTAATCCTTGACTTGTGACAGGTTGCTTAAAGACCATTTGAAGTGAAGGAGACCTATGACCCAGATTTAGAGTACTGGCAGACAGGCCTCTGTGGTCACATGACCAAACTTCAGGTGCTGGCAAAATGGCTTCATTTATTGCTGTTTGCAGTATTCCGCAGTCACGGGATCACTGTATTTTCATTACAGGTAATCCTCAACTTATGACCACTAGTGAGCCCAAAGCTTCTGTTGCTAAGTGAGACAGTGAAGTGAGTTTTGCCCCATTTTACGACCTTCCTTGCCTCAGTTGTTAAGTGAATCACTGCCTTTGTTAAATTAGCAACACAGTTGTTAAGTGAATTTGGCTTCCCCCATTGACTTTGCTTGTCAGGAGGTCGCAAAAGGGGATCACATGACCCCAGGACACTGCAACCGTCATAAATTACGAGTCAGTGGCCAAGTGTTCTAATTTTGATCACGTGACCCTGGGGATGGCTGCAATGATTGTAAGTGTGAAAAATGGTCATAAGTCACTTAGTGATTGTAATTTTGAATGGTCACCAAATGAATGGTTTTAAGGTGAGGACTATCTGTATATCTACACTACTAGTCCAACCCCTTGCTCAAGCAGGAAGCCCTATACCAGTGGTGGCAAACCTATGGCACGGGTGCCAGAGGCGGCACTCAGAGCCCTCTCTGTGGGCACACTCACTGTCGCCCCAGTCCTAGGCCTTCAGCTGGGTTTTATAAAACCTTTTCGCTTTAGGCCTCTGCCGCCGTGTGCAAAAAAAAAAAAGGTTCAATCAATTTCAACTTCTCGCGGGGAAAAAAAAGATCTTGCAAAGTTGAAATTGATTGATTGAACTTTTTAGTCCCACCCAGTCTGCCATTACCACCGCAGCCACGCCCAGCCAATGGGCCACACCCACCCGGCACTCGACAATGCGTAAGTGGGTTTTGGGTTGCAGTTTGGGCACTCGGTCTCTAAAAGGTTCGCCATCACTGCCCTATACCAGTGGTGGTGAACCTATGGCACGGGTGCCAGAGGCGGCACTCAGAGCCCTCTCTGTGGGCACACGTGCCATCGCCCCAGTCCTAGGCCTTCAGCTGGGTTTTATAAAACCTTTTCGCTTTAGGCCTCCGCTGCCGTGTGCAAAAAAAAAAAAAAAAAAAGTTCAATCAGTCAATTTCAACTTCTCACAGGAAAGAAAAAGATCTTGCAAAGTTGGAATTGATTGAACTTTTTAATCCCACCCAGTCTGCCATTACCACCGCAGCCACGCTCACCCAATGGGCCACACCCACCCAATGGGCCACACCCACACGGCACTCGACGATGCATAAGTGGGTTTTCGGTTGCAGTTTGGGCACTCAGTCTCTAAAAGATTCGCCATACCTGCCCTATACCATTCTTGGCAAATGGCTTTTCTTAACAAAAACCTCCAGTGATGGAGCACCCACAGCTTCTGAAGGCAAGCCATTCCGTGGATTAATTATTCTTCCTGTCAGGAAATTTCTTCTTATTTCTAAGTTGCTTCTCTCCTTGATTAGTTGACATCCATTAGTTCTAGACCTGCCTTCAGGTTGCTTTGGAGAATAGGTTGCCCCCCCCCCCCTCTTCTTTGTGGCTGCCCCTCAAATATTGGAAAACTGCTATCATGTCACCCCCTGGTCCTTTTTCTCACCTTACTAGGGACATCCCCGATTCCTGCAACTGTTTTAGCCTCCGGTCCCTTAATCATCTTTGTTGCTCTTCTCTGCGTTCTTTCCAGAATCTCAACGTTTTTTTTTAATATATTGTGGAGACCAAAACTGGGTGCAATATTTCAAGCGAGATCTTACCAGTACGGTACAAAGAGGTGCTAACACTTAGCATGATCTTGATAGTAAACCTCTGTTGTTGCAGCCTAGGACTGACTGCCCGGGGGGGGTGGGTTCCGATCCTCCGGGGCACGAGAGACCGAATAAGGAAGATTGAAATGAATACCGAG